AATCTATGTAGAGCGATTATTATACATTTATATGCAGATACTGAAAGCAACGATAAATCATCAAAAAAAAAAAAAAAAAAAACAATTCTGAGCGTTGACTTTTGGTAAACTTTGTAAATAGTATTGATTTTTCCATTTTATAAGTGGATATCCAAGGTGAACCAGAAATCAACAAAACCGGCATCGGCGTATCGTGGTTTTTTTTTAAAAAAACTGTCCGGAAACTAGAACAATATTTTTCATATAAAGTATTGTCGGTTGAAAAATCGACATCTTTTAAGGAATATTGTAAAGAGTCTGGAGCGTTTTTACTTATTCAAAAAGTATAATCTAAGCAAAAATCACACCTTATCACTTGTACCCTTTCACACAGAGACTGCGGTGGTACAGTTTATTACACAACGACGTCACGCGTTTCGTTAAAATACGTGACTATATATTTAGATCATAATATTACACCTACATCGAAGTCGAGCGTCAATTTTACTGTCAAAAGCTACACGTAGTATTGTATACTATTGAAATGATTTTACTGAAGTATTCCGGCGACAGCAGTAAGGAAAACAATTTATACAGAGTGACCAATCCTCGACCTATTAAGTATTAACATTGTCGGCATCCATTGGACAATTCATGATGAAATAAGCAGCTCTAAAATGTTAAAATACCGTTATTTCGTTCTTATTTTCTGAGACGAAATCCGCAGTGAATTTCGATTTTAAAACAGCGACCGATATTAAAACTTCCATTTATACGTTATTTTGATGTTTTACTTTAAATAGATGTCGGTGTTGGCGTATTTAGTGTCCGTCGACTCGTTGACGAGACGTTCCGCATTGAGGTTCGTGTTGCGCGCTGTTCAAACGCAGCCGCGTCGCCGTACGAATGATGTCCCGTTTTCTCGATCGCCCTGCGTACGGTGTATAGCGTGTACTCGTACTGCATGTACGTATAGATATTGTTAAACAATAAACAAAACTCACGAGTCACGTTTGTTTACACCGTTTCCTCTCAACAAATTGGTGATGGATGTGAAAAAAAGAAAAAAAAAAAAACCCGATCCTCCGATTGCAGCCCGGGCGATGCGTGCGTGGGTTACCGCGACGACAGTGTATCGGTTCAAGTGCGGCGGCGGCGCGCGCTGTTTTCCGAGGACGGCGACGACGGCGGGCCCGTTTTCTGTTGTTTTCGCCCTCCGTCAATTTGCTTTGAAACCGAATATCGTCGTCGTGTTATGCGTTCGGCGTATGCACCGGGCCTCACGAATAAGGTAGGCACGGGTGGGTACTCAGCTCTCGGAGGGCTGTACACGCCGTGCGATGCCGGTGGCGGTGGCGACTGTGGCGGCTGCGGTGCCGGTTTTCGGAGCGACAGAGAGCCGAGACGGCGCGGGCCGAACGAACGAAAGAGAAACAGAAATATCGATGTGATATTTGTTCAGGACCGCAGTGGCGGCGGCGGCGACGACGTCCGGTAGTTGTTTAATTTGTTAACATGTTTGTCTTGGCTCGGGCGCACTATAATAATATAATATAAAATAACATAAAATAAACGTCGTACACACACGACGCTGTGCATACATGTTCTTTGTCGAAAACGATGGTAAAGTATACATTATATTATAAAAACCGCGCTCGCATACCCGTCTATAATCTATATACTTAATGTGCAGCCGTCGGAATGTAATACAGGGGCGCCTCGGGGACGGGCGAGTGTTTTTCAGTCCCCGCGACCGCGCACAACGACCGTAGGGGACGAAAAAAATAAACAATAAATAAAAAAAATCGAAGCGACGAAATAACGAAGAGTACCTCTATGTCTCTTCGTCTCTTCTGGCAACGACAGTTTTGTCAAGTCGACAGCTGTAGTACTCAGAGTCGGAGCGCTCGACAAGTTCGCAGACCCGGGCCGACCGCGGATCTCGGAAAAGGGGACGCAAAATCCGGAATTTATACGTGATTTTTGTGTTACCGCGAACCATTGAATAACGGAGAAAAAAAAATTAAACTTTGGTACGCCATAAAGTCGACAGACTGCGAAAATGTCGACCCTATATTAACGGAAATCTGCTGTTCGCGGGTGTTTTTATAACCCGGTAAAATCGTAGTAAAAATTATTTGTTCGCATTTTTCAAAACCCTTTTCCGAAAACGACGACTACAGCTCTACGCGTCCGTACGCTTAAACAGGGCGTACCAGTTTCCTTGCTAAATAACTATATTATTATAAAATATTACGTATTTATATGATTTTCGGTCTCCGACAGCTTGACGTGCGGGAAATTTTGTCGAATTACATTAATAACGAGACGACGTAAGCATATACACTCGTATTTATATTCTGTTGGACGCCCCCGGACCACGCGAACCCTCTTGACCGAACGTCTCCGCGATCGTATCTCGGCTCGGTCGAAACGACAAAATAATATATTACGGGCTGTCGGTATACGTACAATGTTATAGAATTTCCGCACCGGTCGTTTTCTTGTGTTTACCATGATAATAATAATAATAATATGGCTACGGCGATGTTATATTGTCTATTAAAGGTCGGTCAACCCGTTTCCCCCGCGCGCGCGAAACGTTTCCCTTGACGTTTAAATAATTATTTTACCGCCGTAATACTGAAATTCCCGGGCTGATGTAGTTTAACGCGAATAAATTAAACGAGAATCGGCGTTCGATTCACTGATCAAATTAATAACGTAAAATGTATATTATATCTTTTTGGTCCCGGGGAAAAGGGCTAAAAGTTAATTTCGCATAGTTTTCGATACAAGCGAGTTGCATTTTTTAAATACACACACACACACACACACACACTAGGTAGTACATAAATATTGATACGGTCATGCGACCAAAAAAAAAAAAAAAATAATAATAATAAAAGGGACAAAGTTACGTTAGATAAATTTATAAAGAAAAATATGTCAACAATTTATTTAAGCCAATTTTTCCCTGGGACCAAAGATATAATATACTACCCGTTATAATATTATTACTATAAAAACTCATATTATTATTATATAATACATCGTCAATATTGTAATAGTAATAAAATTGAGTGTGCTCCTACATGGTTTAATAAAAAAAAAAAAAAAGTTCCTGATTCTTGAATGTGTAATATGTACAATATAAAAAACAATACATAATTAGGATAATTTTGCTGTGTCTATATTGTTTGCATTGCGGTCGGTGATATGGACGAAATCATGAGTAAGGCCAAAAATATCGAATGAAATAATAATAGGAACAAAACGGTCAAATGTGATCATCAGCAATGAAACGTACTCTCAACAGTGATTTATAACATTTCAACTGTTATCATACGTAGCTATTTACAGTGTGAAAATACGAACGTTACCAACATTTATTGATTATTCCATGATGACAATTTTTAAACTGGTCGTCAATTATAATAAGAGTCTCTCTACTGCGTCATTCTTTATATGCTGTGGTAAATCTGTGAAGTGTGGCCCTACACGGCTGCGAAATTTGGACGATTTTTTCAAAAGTCAAACAAAAATTGGAGGTTTTGAAAATTTCAGTATGACAAACCAGGAAGTATGGAAAACATAATGAAGGAAAAAATAAAACTTTTACATATTATTAGTCAGAATAGCCAAAATGATGAATTGCGTCATTGAAGAGAGGAATTTAATAGGTAATAACTGAATGAAGCAGACTAACGATACTACAATGGCGATTTTAAGGATTCTTGTAGACTATATTATGATATTGTAATTTAATATAAATTATAAACAGGAACTACAGGTATTGGTTTTGTTATTTTAATCTATTTTAAACAATCATTTTTATAATGGAAACGCACATTGTTGTAATCATTTTACCATAATATGACATGTACCACATATTGTATTGCAACATTATCAACTGAACTCCGCTCAGAATCGTTTTTTCGTTAGCAATGGTTCATCGTTGCTTACGGATATACATTAAATTCCCATCTGTATCCTACCTTCCAAACTTCCCGCCTATAAAAGTGGCTGCACCCACGTGCGAAATATGTTCATCCTTTTTTTCTTTTGTATACTATTATTGTTATTGAGGGGTTTAATTTGTCCAATACTCCGATGTTAAAACGTAATAAACAGCATTAAACATAATGATATAGGTACAACATAAATAACGCATAATCACGGTAACTGTAAAATGTTTGTAAAAACCCAAATCAATGAAATATTTCAACAATAGTAAAATTTCTCTACACAAATAATATTAGTCAATGATTACTATATTTCATAATAAATTATACATCGGTAACAATATAATACTGTGTCGACAATTTGAGTTCTACAACAAGCGTAACGGTCGAAGAAAATAGTAGGTACCACAAAGGAAGACGTGAATCGAAGGGTATAGCATATCCCTCACGGCGCATTGTTCTGTGCACCTTTATCATCATGGATTATGGAACCGGAGAAGAACTTACGAGTAAGGGATAGTAATTGGATTTCAAAATAAACCCGTAAACGAGCATTGCGTTGGAGGTAATAATATTCACACATGCTACGTTGAATATTTGTTTATTTAAACGCAGAGCCCGATGATTCCGGTAAAATTCGATGAGCACGTTGTATAAAGACAGATGGTTGGGCCTGTCTCTTTTTAAACATTGATATAAATCGTAATCATCATGTACTGCTTTTTTTGTACGAACAATACAAATATAAAAGTATCCCAAAGGTTCTTAACGGAATTCCAGGAATTTTGAAAAATGTTTCGTATATAGGCACCTACCTAATCATTGGCCAACGATTTCGCATCTATAAAAGCAAGTACTGCGCGAAACATATTTTGGAGAAATATTATTTATCGGCTAAGTGTTTACGGAGAAATAAATGCGCATATCAGTAAAACTGAAATAAAATAATGGCTTCTTTGAGTAATGCTAATTACGAATTTGTTTTTACAGTTACACAGAGTGTTAAAAAATGTATTACATTCAGTATATTTAGATAATATTAATTTAAGCAAGAAATGGACATTTTATTAAGTATATTTATATAAACAATTCAAACAATTGACATTTACATGTAAACCATATGGTTACTATAGTTGGTAATATATGAATATTAGCGATATATTGTGCACTATTTATATCATTATACAAATATTCATAATTATTTGGTTGTTTCGCAATTGAGTAGGCGGTAAGAGAAAGCCAAGCAGCTACACATTTGGTCGAGATGCCAATGTTCGGACAATACTTATTAACATGTCAGCTTGTTTTTCCTTGGTTACTACAGCTCGCTCTAGTAATAACAACTTTTTTTCATAATAATCGGCTTTTATTTTCATTTTTTTTTGGCTTATAACAGCAAATGATTTAATTGCAGCGACTGCGTTGTGTAATGTGGTCCGCCTATTATTTTTTTTACCTTTATGTACATTTCTGCGAACAAGGATATATATCCTTATATATATATATATATATATATATATATATATATATTTAGGTACAAATTTTATAATTAATAATTATTTAAAAATTTGCAATATCAATTTATTTCAAAAATTACGAGTACGCATACCTATTTGATACTTTTGATGTAGACGGCAAAGGTTGGTCATTGGTACAATTATCATCAACAACATTACTTGTATTAATATTATTTGTTTGGAATACCAAATCATTAATTCCACTTAAACCACTGTCAAAAGAACATATTTATTGAAATTAATAACTTTGAAGTCAGCTACCTATCCGAAAAATAAATAAATAAAAACAAACCTTTTATCCCTGCACGCATTTTGAATATTATTCACCATAACACAATTATCTACTTCCGTATTCGTATTCGCATCGGTTGTTTGGCTAATTGAGATAATAATTATGTTTAACACATACAATTTGTTAACGCGGTTAAAATATTACAGGTTATTAGATTTAATGTAATAACAATTTTAAAACAAAATGTTAACGTAAGGGGATATCACCATAGTACTGTACCATATACGATTTGTGAATGTGTGATAACACAGTTAACGTCGTGGTTTACACCAGAAATGAGAGCGTGATGTTCCCTTGCGCTATCATTTTGTTAGTTTAATAAATATTTTCATAAATTGCATGGGTAGAATCTGGGCAACGGACGGTAAGAGATTTGTAGGAGCCATTTGCATCCGTAAGTTTGAAAAAATTAAAAATTGTATGATATCGATATTGTTATAAATGTAATTAAGATACCCACCTAGTATATGTAACATATTAGAAGTAGCAAAAATAATTAACAAAGTTTCTCAGAGAAACTAGCTGCTTAATTTAAATAATAATTAATATGTATTTCTAGATTTATTATTATTTATTAGCCATAAGTTGTACAGGGTACAGGGCTACCTATCTAATATTATCACTTTGTTTACATAGCAACTCATTTATAAGTTACAAATTGCTGTAACATGAAATAAAATAGTAGGCATAGATTTTGTACGTATGCAACTACTGGTGAGATGACAATTTAATCAGTTTTGTTAAAATTACAAATTTCCCAATCGGATTGTAAAGTCCCTAAAATAAATTCAATTTTCACCGTTAGATGAATAATATTCTGTTGTTATAAAACTTACAAATGTGATACAAGAGATGTCATAGCACCATTTTCTGTAACTGTATTATGTCCTTCAATATTTTTCGGACTGATCAGTTTTAATATTTTATTATCTAGCTCACTAAATAGTTCAAGTGTGTTTTCGTCGTCTCCGGTCTTATTTCTTTTTTTCCAAAAACGCCAAGCCTTGGTTTTGGTATTGGTCTTTATATCACACCATGTCTAAGTATGTAAAAAGAAAAAAAAAACTATATTTATATTGAAAATAAAACAACTAACAATCTAATATAATTTATGTATAATACCTTTCTCCATTCACTCCAAGATTTTTTTGGTCCAACTTCATAATTCAAAGCAGAGGAAATTTTTTTCCACAAGTTTTGTCGCTCTTTTACTGTAGTATTCGATATATTTTTTCCCGACACTAGTTCAGGGTGTAATACAGCAAAGTCTACAAGTAATTGTTTTTGTTTTTCTGTTATGTTGGGCTTTCTAATCCTTTTTATATCCATAATTTATCACAAATACAAGACGGAATACGGAAATAACAGTCACTATTGAACCAATCGGCTGTGAAAACATGAAACACTTTTTAAAAATCTACCAAAATTATAATTAAACATGTGAGAGGGGTTCAGTTGTTCCCCTGTACGCCTCTTAAGAAAAAAATTCTATCTCTTATAACCTCAAATATCCCAATATTTTGAGTCTTTGAACGTAGAGAGTGAATGAATTATTAAATTAATCAATAATAAGTTCTATTTTGTTATGCAAAACTACGTCTGATAAAACAAGGTAAATGATTTAATTGATTTTTACTCTTTTGTTGTCACGAAGGAACAACTTTACTGTCCGAGTGGTGAATCTCAAGACTATTATCAAGACCTAAGACTTATTCTACTGTCCCTTAACTATCTAAGGACACGACCGCTTTTACGGACATTAAATTTAAAATATATATGAAAAAAAAAATTACATCGTAGTATTTGATTACAGAGAAAATTTCACAAAGGTTTTACTTAAATGATTACTGAGAAAATATCTGATTTATAATTTATGAATAAAAGAAATACATACGTTGTTTTTGTTAGTTGTCAACTAAAACTAATTCTAAAAATGACGATGCTGTTGAAGTTTTTGGATCTGTAAAACAATGATAAATTAAATGTCATTTTTACCAAGTTAAGTGATCGTAGCCTTCAAACCAAGGTTAATATTATATTATTTACTTGCACAAGTTAAAATCCGTCGGACAAATTTTAGCGAAATACGCCGCAGCCGATTTATTTATTTATTTCTATACGCGTCAGATCGCCGACGACCGGGAGACTTAAACGCCGGGCAAAACCTAGCGTCCCGCGTTCGCGTTGTAACTAATATCCGGTTATCCTAACCGTACCTATAATATTATTACACAATGTTTAAAAAATAAAAAACGAAATCGGTATTACATTTTGTGCCGCGTATGCGTAAAAATATATACGAAATAATATCGTTTTGTACATAATGTTATAATAACGCGGGCCGTCGCATCGCCAAAGGCCGGTTATCGACGAACTCTGCTCGATAAATCACGGCACAACCATACGATCTTATAATAATCCGTATCTCTCTCTCTCTCTATATACACATATATATATGGGTATACTTACGGTGAAAATTGGATTTCGTCGGAAACGTCGCCGTCCACCGTGTCTACAACAATAACGATAATAATATATTATTATATGCGCAATACGATTATAGAAGACACGACGCGTTAACCAGCCGTGGTGATTTATCGTCCGGTCGATTATATTATTTCGCCGTCAATATCATTACTATGGGCAGGTACGCGGCGGGGGCGATCGGCGCGGGATCGATTTTATTTTGACGGGGCAAAACGTACGAGATATTATTGTGATTTACGCCGAATAGTATCCGTACAGGTTATATGTACGTACGTTTTATCGCGTACGGCGGGTATTGTCGTACGAGCTCGCGCGTAATTTCGGACGTTTCTTATTTTATTTTATTATTATTGTTATTATTTTTTTTTTTTTTTGTTTTTTATTTGACGTTGTATTATATTACGTTTTCTGACGCGCGGCCGAGGGTTTTTTAAACAGTTTTGGATAGTTTATATTATTATAATTTAACACCTTGTAATATACACGGGACGGGATAGCGGCGGCTACCGTATGAATCGCGCCGCGTAATCGATCGATTACATATATAGGGTTTTCGTTGAATATGTTTTTGTTTTTTTTTTTTTTTTTGTAACCGATTTCCATTTGTGTCGATCGGACGCGTACCCGAATTCGACGACCGCTCCGTACGGCATGCCTACGTATCGACGTTATATCGACGTTATCGTACGGAATTTACAAGGGTAACGGGCGGTTGTTCGAAAATGATTAGACGTGTTTATCACTAACCGTCTACGTGTACACCAACGTAACAGAATAAAATATTTCAATTATTCGAAATGTTATGAGTGTATTGTATTTAACCGTACGGATTATGCTATTATAAATGTTATTATGCTATTGGCAATGCTATTATGAAATTAAAGTGATTTTATAATAAAAGACAAAATTCGTCAACCTATATGTTTATACCCCCCGTATGTCGGAAAAATAACGTATTTCGTAATTTATTTAAACATTTAGTGTACAGATTGGTGTTATTTAAATCATATGAAATGTATGATAGCTAATTTACCCCCACTATAAATTTAGCTTCAAGAGGTAAATACACTTTGGTTTATTTAAATTTAATGTATTGATTTATGTATTTATGTATGGATAGTACAGATTAAATAAAGTTTTAAGTCCGTAAGGTTTCATTGTAATTTATATGACAATAGTATATTGTATAAATGACGAAACGCTTCAATTAAAAGTTTTTCTGCAACACGGTGTTCAGCAAGAGATGACTCACGGTTGTCGGTTTAAAATACAGAATCGGGTATTATCAGTTTTACATATAGATTTTAAATATCGGAACACGCAGCACCGAAAAATGACGCGGAATGTTCGCGCACCTTTCTAGTATCGTGAAAAAAAATGCCCATCACACGTACTATAAAGACTAACTTTTAACTAACCTGCGAACAGGTTCGCAGATGCGATCTATCCAAACGAACATATTATTTTATTATTTTATCAGCCGTAGACATACGAAACAACTAGATGATAAAAGGTGCCCCATAAGTGGTACAATGGGTAGTTAGCAGCCATAATATTTAGTTAATAGTTAGCTGCACACGAAACGGGGCAACAGGACTGTATTGATTCAACCGTGAAATATTTTTTTGCCGATGTGCCGTGAACTATACGTATATGATGGCAGGTACATAGAAACGGTTTGTGTTGGATTTCGAATATTTTTCGTATAATTCGTGGCGCAAACAAATATTTCACGGGTTAGTCGATAAAACTCGTTCACTTGGCGCACGGTAGCCGAGATTAAGATTTATTGTGGTAGGTTTACTGTGTAATGGTAGCCGTTTAACACGTATCTGCGGCGTTAACGCAGAATTCGAAAAATGTGCCGACGTACCCGCAGCGAAAAGGTTTCGTGGCACTGCTGGAAGGTTTGTTAACCCGCAAATAACCGCTAGGTGTGTTATTAGTAATCGCTTCAACGAAACCGCTATAACTACCTGTACGAGTATTATACACTATATATTCTACGCTGGATTATTTTCCGCAAATTACATTTATACACACAATTAATATTATACGATTGCGGCCAATATCATTATTTACCATACGCCTGTACCCATATAATTTATACAGGTACACAAGAACGTCTCGGAACGTTGAATTATGTTAAGAGTTATAGTATTATGTATGTTCGATTATAAGTGGTTTCTATCCATATTATTACGTATAAACGTGAATAGGTAGTGTGTATCATAAGCGAATTACATAAACGAATAATATCATTGGTATATTATTATACTCGTATACCGTTGATTCATTATTTAAATGAAATAAAAAAAAAAATATTGCAATTATTTACCCTATAGCTACTACAATTGCTTTGTATTCATCTTCGGTTTTAGGAAAGAAGGGTTTACGTCAATTTTGGTTAATTTTTTAATAAAAAATAATTTAATTTTAAACATTTACTCTCTTGTACATACACTAATTTGAAAATAAATACGTGCGCACTGATGCGATTTAAACCAAAAAAAAAATAAATGGAAAAAATGTCATTATAAAGAGAATTTTTTTCTTTCTTTAAATACCAAAAATTAACTATTATGCCTTCATTCCCTGAACCGAAGAAATATTATGTTAATTGTATTGTTTTTACTTACGATTAAAAATATTGTATTGCATCGGATAAATGAAAAGTAAAAAAAAAAAATACTGTTATTATATTATTACCTATAAAATATTATCGAATAAAATTGTATAAGATAGTATATATTTATTATTGTACTATAGTATACGTGTTGTACGGGGTTTTTCGATTATTATGAAATGCGTTTAGAAATTAAGATGATAAACCTTATCGAAACACCAACTAGAACCAAAATGCGACAAAAAAGGGTTCTTGTGGTTTTTTTTGATCAGAGCACGAAATCGCACGTAGAAAAGTGATTTGCAAATACAAAACCACAAAAAAACTCACCCCGTAGTAGAAAAAAAAAATACATTCATCGGTCCGTTAAAAATCTAAAAAAAAAAAAAAATTCTACACAAAAAGTGCAGTACTTCTCTTTACGCAGCCGATTGAACGAGTATTGAATATTTATTTATAAACCTACTACATAGGCGATGTTTACGGGATACGCGACTCTCGGGGAAAATTATCGAATTAATTAAATCCCTTTGTCGAGACATCGTCGCATAAATGTAATCTCGCATAGGTACAGGTATTAATCACCCCGAAACGATACGGCCCAAAGTTCTTTGGGTTTAATCGATTTTCAATCGCGATCGTTTATAATATTATTAACGCCAGCCACGAGTAAACTCCGTCGTACGTATATTGTGTATATAATATTATACTACATAATAATCGACTTGGCCCAACTGAATTAAATCCTTTTGATAGTAAATGCATAATATTATAATTTGCGAATAATTTTCCGAATATGTTCGCATATTACCCAAGCGACTGAACGATCCGTGTAATCGTTTTAACGAAAACTACTCGCATTCAATTAATTTTAGATTCGAACATTTCAGTAGTCTTACCGCGGCGATACGTGTGTTTTTTCGGTTTTTTTTTTTTTTTTCATTAGGTACATCTACTCTGTTGATACAATGCGCATATGGTGTAAAACTGTGAAACACATTTTTAGAACGCATACATTCTGGTATACCGGTACAATAGAATACTATACGGTTTACAAATGTCGAGGAAGAAAATATAACGAATGCGAGCAAAAGTTTGTATTTTAACTCTGGCCACTAGTTATGCAGGCTCAGTTTCGGGTATTTGGGCATTCCTTTAACAAAGAAACAAATTGTTTCAAAGTGTTCCGAATTGATTTTCCAAAACAAAGTATTGTCTTCATCATGATATCCCGTGCCAAGATTTTCCGAACGAGACGATAAGTGAGTACTCAACGGCCAATATCCAACCGTCTCTATAGCCGGATCTCATTTATCCATGTTCTGGGCTCGGACAAACTAAGCGATATAGTTACGTTACTTAGACCGTAAATGGTGGCGTTTAGGTTGAAATCGGATTATAAACCCATAAATAGCAACATTTAAAAGGAAGAATATTTTCGTGGTTTCTTTTTTTTTTTAATTATCACCGCTCCGATATCAACCAAAATGCCAAAACCTATATATATTCCAATAGGTAGCGAAATTTTGGTATGTTGCCCTTTAGTTAAACTAAGACAATAGCTGCGGATATTTTATCTACTTAACGAAATTTTTTTTTTTAATTTTAATACTATTTAAATTTTACCGTTTGAATTATTTATAATCATTTAATAGATTATATTTTATTATCTTCAAGTTACACGGATAAAAATAATTTGTTACTCATTACAACAACAAAAAAAAAAAAAAATAAAATAAATTAAGCGCTACAGTACACGAGTTTGGTAAATTTTCAAAAGTTAAGAAGGAAATCATTTAGGTGTTTGAAAAAAAATAACGTCTAAACACGCCCCACTCGTTTATCACTGTACACTTTGTAGTCGTCTAAAATGTTTGAAGGAAATTAATTCGTTTACACTAATAAACTAATTATCCCCCAGTAAATATACAGTATACGTTTATTATAATATCATAATGAGAATAATTATAATTTTATCATAATTTATTCAACGAGCTCGTAATGAACTTTTATAAAATTTGTTGACACTAATTATAATCATGCGACGTAATTCCACCCCCCCCCCTTCCCGAAAATCACCGAATACGTGTGTTGTCATCAACTATGTTGTAAAGGATAAATTTTCAAATATCCAGAAACAAATAAGTGATAATTGACGAAGATACAATTTAGATTTAAATTAAGATATAAGATGTACATTACGATTTAATTATCTAGATAGAGACAAATTATAATTAGAAACTTTTTCTTAAGGTAAACAAAAAAATGGTAATTATTGTATGCGTTACCTTTTATAAAACTGTAAGTGCTTTATAATTATTAAAAGTGTGCCGGATTTAAAAGGTATTCACATTTCATAAAGATTTATGCGGTAAGCTATCAATTTGTTAAACCATAATAATATGAATTAAAATATAATAAATATTAGTGTACAACATTGTATTACGTTACCTATTATTTGTGATAGGTATATTGAATTCCGATATAAAAAGATTTACCTATAGACGATTCAATTATGTACCCCAGGTATCGAATCTCATTACTTATTATTTCTCATTTATCTAAATAAGATAAAAGATGAAATATGCCTATCTAGACAAAACTCAACACTGTGCGTCTATACCTACCACTCTTGGTCAATGCAATGTTTGTATTCGCGGTTTTTTTTATTGTTTTTTTCATTGTTATGGTTCGGAGTGTTTGCTGTAGTGCTTAATTTTGGAGCTAGACGTGGGGGACTAAGTACCTTAACTAATTTTTTGGATATTCCAACGTATGCCTACTTCTTTTTAATGGGGAACGCATAGGACGGACTGTTATTTAAGCTTACCCATTTTTATAAAATTGCTCAACTAATATGTTTGTGTTATAAACCTTAAAAAATACTCTAATATTTACAAAATGTATTGATATCTCATATTTGATATATGATAACTGATAAGTAGCCATCAATTATAACCACGCATTATCTATAAATCCAGGTAACCAGTAACTATTGACCCATACCCTTAGAAGATCAGTAAGCACACGGTCTTCGAAGTATACTAACCTATTACTTATAGTATTATCATTGAGCAGTATGCTATTATCTCGTTTAATCCAGTGACCAATATTCTCATTTAAGGAATCTTTTAAATGAAAAATAATTAATTTATACATGGTAAGTTTGTAATTGTTGTGTTTATTTTAATGTCGGTTTTAAAAAAGGCAAGTTATATCAAAACAATTATTGTATTATTCTGTTTTACGTGTTTAATGATTTTATATAAATGCTTCTTGAGGAATGTGACGGGCGAAATCCCCTTGGTAATGTGAGGGATATTAAAATGCTCGGGACTCTACTTTTTTAAAAGTCTCTAAAGTATACCTACTACTTTTTTCCAAGTCAAGCACTAGTTGGGTGATAGACAGAAACCTGGAACGTAGAATGCATGTAGTTGAGATGAGAATGCTTAAGTGAATGAGTGGAATGACGAGAGAAGATAGTGTAAGGAGTGAGTACATAAGAGGTAACTTACGCGTGGTTTTGATAGTGGACAAAATGAGGAAAAATATACACGGATCGATTGGGTATGTGATGGGGAGAGATACATTGGAAGCAGTAAGAATGACAATGGAAATAAATAAACGTAGGAGAAACACCGGAAAAGGGGCGATTAGATTGAGAGTGATATTAGGACGACCGGTGTATGTGAGGACGTTGTGGGAGATCGAAGAGCAGGTCAAGTGGAAGTTTAGGATGAGGGTGGTTAATTTCAAACAACCGGGACGAGGACGGAGACAAAAGAAGAAAAAGACGCATCAAGCATCGTGTTAAAATATAATGTGTGATTTCGAAACGCGCCGATACAAAAAAGAAAATTTAAAAACGCTCCTCTTTAGATTTTATTATTAAAATTAAACGGAAAATAATTTTTTTCTAAAACTTAATATCGCATTGTTAATATATTGTTGTGTTATTACCATATTTTATACCGCGGTCGTACAACTGTCACCGCCAAAATCGTTATCCGGACGATCTTATGACACCGCGCGTATTTTATACAGATACAGCGCGTCAGTTTCAATTTCCGGACGACGAAATGTACAATATTAAATTTATTTTTATTATACTCCCGAAATAATATTATATTTTATTATGTACAGTAGGCATTGTAAATATACGGTTGCGTGTATACCGCCGCGCCTATACAACGGAAGGAAGCGCGGGGGGAGGGGGAAATGTGATGCATAACGGTCCGACCAACGTTAAAACATGATTAATACATTATAATAATAATAATAATAATAATAATAAAAAAATGTATATAATATATGCGACGCGTTTATTTTTTTTTCTGCCGAATCATTCTTCGAAAATATCCAATCGGACCGTCGCGCAAACGTCGCGTATTATATTGCTGTGAAGTTCCTACATTGTTACGCATGATAAATATGCAAATATATGTGTTAACGTTCGGCAGTCGCTTTTTATTCGCGCGACAATGACAACTGAAAAATTCAGACGGCGGCGCGCCCGGAAATTTTCAGCGGGAGTGCATGCGCATTGCGAATAACAATAATCACGAGTAAACCGCACGCAATTTTCGACCATATTATGTAGGGTAACTCTATACACCGTTCCAACGAGAATTTAAGTGGGTATCGAAAAAAAAAAAAAAAGAGCCAATATCTTTCTTCAAGTTCAAATCAGACTTTTGTTTGTGACGTAGCGCGGCTGAAATACAACATGTATTTCGAGATTGAATAATTGCTATATAAAATATTCGCCTTTAGGTGTTGTGTTCAGAACGCGCGGGAACAATATAATTGTTTATAGTATGCTGGCAGTATGTCCGCAGAAGAGTCGCGCGATGGGTTTCGAAAATTCATTGTGAGAGGGAAAGTCACTTATTATATTTTAAAAAAAAAAATGTTTACATCAGGGACTATGGAATTGGCAACTGTAGTTGGTGGATCGTGAAAGGATATTATACTATTATAGTGTAGTGGCGTATTGAATTATAAATTTACAGATGGCTCAGCAAATGGTCCAGTCGTTTACTGTATTATATGAAAATTAATTGATAATTAATGAAAACATTTTTTTTTTCTTTAGCCACGGTACACGTTATACGATATGACACAGTTTCGAAATTCGATATCGATCCACCATCCTCGACAAAGTCCCTGATACGCTGTTGACTTGTCTAATAACGAAAAGGAAACGTCCAATTCTGGAAAACTAAAATAGCTCTTTCGGACAGTTCGGAATCTAAAATACAAAACGGTTGTTACACATTCGTTCAAATTCGAACGGCCGGTTTAACCCCCCCCCCTCCTTATTCCGCCCATTTTTGCGACGATCGAGTTATCCTGCGTGTACACACGGCGGGAACCGCACAGCCCGGGGCCGGGAACTCGGCGGGTCGAAAAGGGAATAATGCAGTTTTGTGAAGACCAGAATAATATCATTATCATTATAATACGTATTATTGTACGCTTTATTATACCGCGGTCCGCGTGTCTTACGGTTATAATTTTTGATTCATTACACACCGCGATAGACGTATCATTATAAAATAACAATAATGGTAATAAAAATAATATATTATATAGGTACGTGTAATTTATGCAAAATCGTTTAACGCGACGGCCGAGGAGTTGAACCGCGGTGCAATGTCGCGCCCGGTGGTGTCGCCAGAGTGCAGCCGCACGACGAGGGAGTGGCCGGACTGTGCAGGGAGAGTAACAATATTTCGTGTAGGAAACGAGATTTGGTTTTTTTTTTTCTGTTTTCCCCTATCATTTTAGTCGACACAAAACATTAATAATATTATACGCGTCGGTTCACGAAACGATGATAATAATATACGCGTATATTATATTATATACGCTGTAAATATTCGAGTAGCACAATTGGTTTTCGTATGACAACAATAATATTTCGTACCTACCTACCATTGTTGGTGTTCTATACGCATTATAATATAGAAGACTTATTTTTAAGCTCGTTTTGTGGTATAATATATTGCCGGAGCCGAACGCGTGTCGTGAAAATATTTATCAGCCGTTATCAGGAAAACAGATTGCTTTTTTTTTTTTTCATTTTTTTTTTCGACCCGTGAAATACAAACAAAAACCAATATAATATAGGCACGCCTATAATATTATAATAATGTTTCTGAAACGCACCCTTACCGACTACATACCACCATATTATCGTAAACCACAGAATAATAAAAAATAAAAATTACATACAACAGTTAGTATTATTATATACGTCATACCGTTGGATAGTATAATATTAAACACACATTACAAGTTTTTTTGGACACCGAAAAGGCGTTAATCGGCATTCAATCGAAAAAAATTCTGTAGGTACCAAAAATGTGTATGAATGTATCAAATATCAAGTAAGAGTGAACCGTTCACTGTCGGAGAAAAAGCGATGACTGAACTTAAACAAGATGATGCGCTATTACCGATATTGTTTCATATAACATTAGAAAAACCACGCTCGATGTGTTATTATTTGCAGATGATTTGAATATTGTGCAGGAAGAAAACAAATAAAAAATACGCATACATGAAACAAAAAGATTGGGAAATGAAGAGAAAACGAAAATGATGGAAATGTTGGCTGATTAAAATGGGACATTACCGTGGAGAAATATGTATTTGAGAAAGCCCGGAGATTCAAGTTCTTAGGAGTAACAAACGCCAATAACAATTACCATAACAATAACGATTAGAGTGTAAAAATGGGTATTCGGTTGATTGATCAAATCAGGAAGAGCGGGTTTTGCACTAATTAAATACTTCAAATCAAAAGAACAAAAAAAAATGCTTAAAATGGCTATTGAAAGACCAACATGAAAGTATAGATGTGAAGTATGGCCTTTATTTCAATGCGAATTGTATATAAAAAAAAAAAAATGAATCTTCGAGAATCAAGTTCTAAGACCAGTGTTCGATTACAAAAGAAAATTTAGATACATGGGAAATAACTGTTCAGACATAACTACTGAATCCCTAATAAATCATTGGTGAAGGGAAAGAGAATTCAGTACTTTCTGGCATGCAATGAGAAAAGAAAGAGCAAACAAAGTTAGGGGACTAATTTGGAGGAGACCAACAAGGAAATATGCCCGGGGGCAGACCACGCAGACAGTAAATGAATGAAGGGCGGCAGGGTCTGGTGAGATTCGAGATGACTGATTGGGAGGATCGTAATAATTGGAGGCCGAGGAGAGTGGCAGAAGAAATTCTGTAAGAGTTATGAGGTTACATGATGATGAGAAATTATATTACCGTTTGTGTACACGAGAAGAAGGTGCCTACAAACAATAAAAAAAATATTAAAAAGAAAATTGAAACACCAAGTCACTGCACATTTTTTTTTAAACCAGAAATCCTTTCAAGCAAATTATAATAAAATACAAAATAATATATAAATACGACTTCCACCGAATCTCTTTTAAGATTAATAGATTAACTGCACAAAACGTCTTTTTAAACCCATTGTGATTTATTTTTTCCGCCCATGTTTTTCGGTGTACATACACATTTTGGTTATTTTTTTTTTTTTTTTTTAATGTCCACATTATATTATTACCGCACATCTGCGTACTATACATTATTATACTTTATTATAACTTGTCATGAATTAAACTGTAGACTCCAATCGAAAAATGACAAGAGGTCCTATTTTCGTGTATTTTGGATCTAGTTAAGACATTGTGGATTACAAATAATTGGGAAATAATTAGACGAAAAGTACATAGAGAAACACGGCATATGTGCGGTTTCGATAATTTTGACGCAATTTGAATTGAATTAGATCTTAAATTTATACGGAATAATGATCATATAAAATTTTTCAAGACGTGTTAAAATTTTCAAAAGACTGGATTTTGAAGCTATTTGTAGACATCTTACATTTTTAAATCGTGGCATCTCGTGTAATTTGGGCCTAATGTAATTGAACAAAAAAATTGCACTGAAAGATTTGTGGTACATTTATTATTAGCAGCACAGCATATAGCAGTGTAGCGTGGAGTGAATCAGACCAGATTTTTTTTATTAGTTCAAATTTTGAAGAAAATCGTAAAAACTATAACATTTAAAAAAACGTAAAAACGAACTTCGCTCAGAATTTTCGCTATTTTATTAGCAATTAAATAACTAAACGTATCTTTCTTTTCAAATTTTCAAATTACATCAAGAGCTTATTACCTCTTTTTTTGGTTTTGGTTTTTTTTTTCTGACGGCTTACAACTTTTCTATAGGTACTCTGGTACCTATAGAAATCTTGCTAAAAGATGACCCTTTTTGTTAGATTTTTTTTTTATATATTCGACAATTCGAGGGTGCCGGATTTTGATTTTCTTGGTTGTTTCCTTTATAACTGGAAAAACCCTGGAAACAAAAACGGGAAAGATTACGAGAATATAAGTTACATTATTTCCGATCTTTCCATTTTTTTTTTCACTCACAGATATCATGCCCCGAAATTCGATTATAGCATCTATTTTTAAGTATTTTTACGAACAATAAATTATTATTGAACGATATAGACGTTTTTAATGTATTTGTTTCAATGTAAATTACGCGTATGACTAAATAAATGTAACGGGTAATTGTACCCATATGCCAAATTTTTATTTTATAATGAATTATTAAATTACCATCGGCAACACCTGCAATAAAATCCCGCGCACGCCTACGATTTACCAAATACGTCACTCTGTGTGGCACAGATGTTTCGTATTTTTTAATAATGATGCGTAATATGTTAAGTTGGCACAACTCTCATTTAGTTTACAATTATTGTATAATTGCCCAGCAATATTATTAAAAACGACTATGTATTAATTTTCAGTCGGGTTAATTTAATTTTGATTGAATTATTACGCAGCTACGGTGTCTAATTGCTTTGTCGACTATGTACCGTATAACAGGCACGTACGTGAAAAAAAATTCAGCGGGGGGGTTCATAAAAAAATGTACAATGATCAATATTTATAAAAAAAAATATTAAATTGGTATAAACGTATAACGCGATTATTGATTTTCGGCGGGGAAGGGTTGAACACCTACCTCCTACCCCTGTATATGTGCCCGCTGTACAACGCGTATGTGTGTAAAGATTTAAATTTTTTATTATTATTATTATTATTAAAATAAACGCGCCAAAGTCAACGGTCGACGGCAGATATCCGGCGGAAAAGCCGTTAGCGGACAGAGAAAAGAAAAAACGATTATAAAACTCCGCGCCTCCGCGCGAGTGTTTTTCGAAACGCGAACAATATTACAATAATGATGACGACGACGGCGACACGACCGTCCGCGCCGTAGAAGCCGGCCGGTCGAATCGACGCCCCCTCCTCCCCTCCCACACCGCATCACGGATTTTCCGTCGCGGACCGAACGCGACGACAGTGTCCAAAAGCCGACCGGCGATACGCGTCCGCGGTGCCGTCGCGGTACCCACCTGCTCTGCTGCCCGTACGGCGTATGCGCTTGCTTGAAGCCAAAACGAATGTCCTGCTGCCGTTCGGTGTGTCGCCGTCACACGGTGTCGCGCGGCGTCGTCATCGTAACATTACTGTCGTTTATCGTCCGCTCTTAAAAACGGCGCGCGCGGCGTTCGTTCGGTCCGCGGCGCCCGTGCCCCGCGTAACAATCGTCCGGTCGCCCGTGCCCCGCGTAACAATCGTACGGTCGCGCGTATCCCGCGGCCGTACCCGTTGTCCGGCGCGTCCGGCAAATTATAACGTCCCGGTGTATTTTCGACCGCTCGCGGTCTCGGCGTGTCCCGGCGGTGCAGCGAGCGACTGGCGAGCGTACGCGCGGCCACCCGGCGCCCCGCCCGTCGGCCGCGTCGCACACGCGTGCCGGTAAAACTAAAACAAATACCGAACACCCGCCGACCGTAAACGTGTTCGGCGCCCGCCGAGGCGTGCGCGCGGCACGGGTATTTGCACGCGGTGCGCCGCGAGCTTTCGACGGTTCCGGCCGCGCGCGGGACCGTTTGAAATGCTCGCGGCTAACGCGCCCGTCGATTTTTTTCCCGAACGCCGCGGACACGCTTAGCGCGGGTAGGGGCCGCGCCGTCGGACGGACGAGTATTCGGAATACGCGGGACGCGCGGCCGGCAGTTTGTCGAGTCGAACGCGCCCGAAACGCGATTCCGGTGGTAGCTCGGTAGACTGCCGGTAGGTTTTACCTGTTCGGCACCCGTAACGGCTTTTCTGCCGGAAACACAATATCGTCACGATTTTCGAGTTTGGCGATTTTTTTCCTTTTTTTATTTTTCTGACGGCAAACTGTTCAGTGTCTAGTCGGTGCGAATGCTCTCGTTTCAATGCGGTTCTCTCATTAATCCGGTCGACAACGGGAAACGGACATTAACGGTTTCGTTATTTTCCACGGATATGAGTTTTCGTTGTAATTTGCGCACAAATAGTAAATAATAAAATGCTTGCGTTGCGATGTTCACAGAATACTAATATCAGTTTTTTTTCTAGACGTGGTAAAATTCAAAACGTTCTGATAGTTTTTGAGGTATTTTAGGGCGTTTAAAAATTTTGAAACTTACAGTTTTCATTTGGTTTAATGTGGATACAATTGTTTTTTTGCAAATCATCGTTTTGTAAACGCTTACGAGTTTAACACGATATTCATAATTGGCTGTACTTAATAGTTAAACAAAGTTTGGGCGTAGTGTAGTAGTTTTTTTTATTTCGGTAAAACTATATGTCTACGTATTACCCACCAATTAAAAACTGAAAAACTCGAAAATGTCAAATGATCATAACATAACAGTAGCCACGTAATAAAATACCAAACAAAAACTGGATGATTATTGGTTTATTTTGATTTCAGTTCCCGCGTAATTGATCAGTGGTTCATTTTAGTTCAATTTAGTTCAAGTTCGGGGAGGCGGGAGTTGGAGTGGTGTATAAAGTATAAGGTTTCTAATATTATCAAACGTTCATATTATACGAACGCTGACTTACACCCTGCGTGCACTGCACTATTTTAATTTTAAATTTTTAAATCATCCTTGAAAAGAGTTGACTGTATTGAACGTCTTGCTGCACATTTATTATCGTAGACCTAAATTTGTGGAACATGTTTATTTTGTAAATAATTTTATTAGAAAATGTTTTATGTATTTTGATTGCTTAAATATTTGTCAAACTATATATAAAGTCTTAGCGTTATTTACTTAGCTGTGACACAATTCGTTTTTGCGCCCGGTATTTCGGCGTGGTGTTGTATATACTTCAGGCGTACACAAATGTATTATTAATAAATATCAATTTGTCAATAAAATTATTCTTTATTTACCAAAACGGTTGTAATTTGTACAATTTACGTCAAAACTTGAACTTCAACTGCTCATAATAAAAGTACATAATATTCAACTTTTATATTTTTGAACACTAAGTACAACTTATAATAAACCTCGCGTTAAACGTTCAAATAGTTTACGATTTGTCAAACAATTGTGCCCTCTTAATACTTATCAAATAAAAACTAAAACAATTTGAAAGTGCTATGGCCTATAAATAGTTCAACAATTTCCAGAATGTTTTTATCATATCTAGAAAAGACTAATGTAAGTATTCTGTGAAAATGTATCTGTGATTATTTTGAACTAAATTACAACAAAATCAAAAATAATCGAACCGTTAAAGCAAATGGGTTAACCTAAACTATACCGATTTTTTTATTTTTTTTTCTCGTTTATAAAAAAAACTACAGACAAAATCAAAAGTCGAAATTTGTTATAATAATAATATACGTTTTTTTTTTTGTCCGTTTTTTCCCGATTATTACAAAAGTCGTTTAGAAAATCAAACAATTAGGTATCTCCTTAATGCACCACCTAGATTCAAAACTTATCAAAAATGGTCTTTGGGATATTCTTTTGATTGGAGCAAGATTTCAGGTAGAAACGTTGTACACAGACACGCACGAAAAAAAGAAGAGCAAAAACCACAAACCATAGTTGAGATAACATTTTAAATGCATTAATAATTAATCAAAGTAATATAGTTAGGATTTCTCTAAATAAGTTTACACTGCAAGGATATACGAACGCTAACTATAAAGAATTTGGTGTATTGCCTATAAGGTTTTTGTGTAAAAAAAAATTGCAATTATGTTTGTTTTTGGTTAAGAAATTTAATTTAGATAACGATCAAAAGGAGGTAAGCGACAAAAGGGAAATGAAAAACAATATGATCTGACTGTTAAATATGCGAATACTTCTTTCGGTCAGCGTTTTGTAGACTATCAGGGTCCAACTTCTTTCAACTATATGCCTTATGACTAAAAAAATAATACTCGGTATTGAAATTATAAACATTAAAGATCTAGCATACAAATATTTATTTTTTGAATTAGACAAGGATTTACGGTAATATAACCAAATTTTATTTCATTATTTTTTATTTATTGTACCTATAGCACATATTTTTGATTTGTTTTTATTTATTTATTTGCCTTTAACATTGTTACTTAGAAAATAAGACAGTTTATATATTTTAAGAGTTGTTTCAAGATGTATTTGAAATTTTGTTTTTTTTTTTTTTTTTAATCGAAATATATTTACATTAAGTTTTTATTTATTATATATATGTATATATATATATATACAGAGAGAGAGAGAGATTTAGTAGTAATCATAGCTCCTTATCTCCAACACAAGCCGCATAAGCTTACGGAAGGTAAGTTAATCAATTCCGTAACAGATTCAATTTCGATGTATATGAAATGTTTTGTTTTTGGCATCTTGGTGTATAAAAAAAAAAATAGTGAAACCGACACGTTTCACGCGTCAGGATTTGAAATGAGACCGTCCGTTCGGGCGAAAAACGCGCAAAACGTCACGTACGAACCGACGGAACTGCGAAATTTATTTCGCGAATGCGGGCCGTGCGCGCCGAACGGCGGAATATCAAAAATGATAGTCGCGCGCGCCGGATAATAGATTCCGATTTTGTCGCAAACATACAAACGGAGTTCCGTCGAACGCGGGGCGTTAACACGGCGGATTGATTTTACGAATTTGATCGGCGATCGGGGACGGTGAATTAATTGAACGTTCAGCGTATCCGTCGGTCCGCGTCGTTGTTGCAGCGCGCGTTATCACGACGCGCGCAGTAGTAACGGCGGCGGAGAGTGAGACGCGGGAAATTCGATATATTCGACCGAAACCGCCGTTTAGTTTTCGCGGTACGTCCGCGCGACGCGCTATTGCGCGTAATCACATCATATCGAGAATGAGTTTGCGGACGAGCGGGAAAAAAAAAAAAAAAAAAAAACAAATAATATGACGGCCGGTGACACTAAAGCGCACCGGCCCGATACCATTTGCGGACGACGACGCGGGAATGCGGTCGAGGTGAAGGAAAAAAAAGTGTTCGGCACAAACATTCTCGATTGGCGGCCGTGCGCGCGCAAAATATACGCGGCCGTGTTGTATTCGGTGCGGTGTTTTTATATATTACGTTTATTAGTAATATTTTGAATTCTTGGCGACCGGCGGATTTAAGCGCGTCGGAAACGAATAACAGAAAAAAAAAAAAAAACCTCACCAAAATAATAATAATAATAATAAATAAAAATTCAATTGTCTCAGACGCGAAAAAAAAAAAACGATCTTTTTTCACAAAAGACCTCACCTTATCTCCGCCGCATCTACAATAGCGTTACGGGAGCTATGTGTATATATATATATATATACATTTAACGAACCAGTCCGAGTGTTCTTTTCGATAATGTTGCAGTAAAAAATTTCCCTCGCTAATAATTGGCACTATATATTTTATTGCGCACACACAATGTAATATAGTATCCCGGGACTTGCAATGAGAAAAATATTAAATTCTCTTGTATTTTAGCCGCCGCCGTCTACGTGCTTCGGCATGATATTGACGAATGCTTTCGAATCGAAGTTAAAATACTCAACCGGCTACCCGAATGTTGTACGTTACGTTCATAAGAAGTCTCTTTGTCTCTCTTTTTTTTTTTTTTTGGTTATTATTTTTCGTATACATTGGATAATAGTGATTGTGTTGAGCGCGTCAAATCGAATAATGCAATGCAACATTAGACGAATACAATTTACAGTGTGCAAGAGAAAGAAAGGGAGTGACAAAAACGTATAAAAGACAAATTCTACAGTGTTTTAGTTGGACGGAATTACGGGATACCGCATCATTGAGGACAGCGCACGAAATAGACGCGTCGTATTCTTAATTTGGATTTTGAAGAAACACCTACGACAATTCAAAACTGTACAATATTTTAGATTCTGACAACCAAAAACGTATAGTTATCGAACTGATAACGTCGTAATCGGTTTGATAATTTATGTGCCCGATCTGGGTTCGATAAATATTAAAAAAACAGTCCCATAAATCTACTGAACTGACTACAAGGTTTATTTGTCGGTAATTCACAATTTTTTTTCATCGTACATTTTATGTCGTTATGCGTCGATCGTACCATTAAACATTTTTAACTAGTTTAACGACGCGAGAATATATTTACTGGAATAATTTGCATAAAGCACGCGTGCACGATAAAACAGTTTTCGCTCATAATAGTGCTAAAATACTGAATAATCATTGTACATTTTAGTTGTATACCGACCGTAAACCGCAACTACCACCGTC